GCTTGAGGGCGTCTGTTTGAGGTTAGTTTTCCAGTTGTGATCTTCAACCCTTGAAATGTGTAACAACGTCAAAAACGCATCAAGTTCAGAAACAGAGGAAAATCACTTGAACAAGTGAATCTTTCTGATCAGTTTGACTAATTTAATGAATACCTACATGGGATTTGCATGGAAAGATATTGAATTGACACTAAATTTGCTCGGTTAGTGCATCCTCTAAACCACTGTTCGCATTTGCCAGTTGAAATTCAAATTTTTGCGTGTTTAGGTTATGGACCGCACATTAGTTGCTCATGTTCATCTCAGTTGGTCAGATTTCACGTTTTTTCGCGTTCTTGATTGAAAAAATAGGTTAGTATCCCCAAAACGCCTATCTAGAGGGCGGGATGAGCCTCTATCAAAGACACTTGATTAGGGAAACGTTTTTCCGGCAGATGGATGTAAAGTTTCAGAAGTCCTTGCAACTCAGCCTCTAAATTTTGTGTGCTGCTCTAAGCCGGAGGGTCGGTGGAGGGAAAAATCGAAGGGCTTAACGACTCAGCAGTCGAACTATTAGGTCACGGAAATAAATGCAAGTTGTTTCTTGCCAGAGTTTGCCTTTGTAAAACGTTGAGCACATTTGAAGGTTGTGGTTAGAATAACCAGTCTCGGAAGCATGCGGACCACCCTCTACTCGAGTCCCCTGTAGTTTTTTATCTTCAATTTTTGCGTGTTTAGGTTAAGGACAACACATTAAGTACTCATGTTCATCTCGATTGGTCAGATTTTACGTTTCTGCGCGTTCTCGAATGAAAACGATGGTTAGTATCACCAAAACGCTTATCTCGAGGGCGGGATGAGCCTCTATCAAGGACCCATGATTAGGGAAACATTTTTCCGGCAGATGGACATAAAGTTTCAGAAGTCCTTGTTACTCAGCCCCTCAATTTTATGTGCTTCTCTAAGCCGGAGGGTCGGTGGAGGGAAAAATCGAAGAGCTCAACGACTCAGCAGTCGAATTATTCGATTACGGAAATAATAAAATAATGTTTCTTGCCAGAGTTTGCCTTTGTAGAACGTTGAGCACATTTGAGGGTTGTGGTTAGAATAATCAGTCTTGGAAGCATGCCTTCTACTCGAGTAGTTTTTCATCTTAAATTTTTGCCATTTAAATCTGCAACCAAATAGCAAGATTAGTGCTAAATCTGGACTCAAATCCGAAACATTGAATTGCTTGAGGGCGTTTGTTCGCAAACGCGTTATGGCCTATTTGAGGTTAGTTTTCCAGTTGTGATCTTCAACCCTTGAAATGTGTAACAACGTCAAAAACGCATCAAGTTCAGAAACAGAGGAAAATCGCTTGAACCAGTGAATCTTTCTGAGCAGTTTGACCAATATAATGAATACCTACATGGGATTTGCATCGAAAGATATTGAATTGATGAAATTTGCTCAGTTAGTGCATCCTCTAAACCACTGTTCGCATTTGCCAGTTGAAATTCAAGGAATTTCTCGGTTCTCGTTTGCATGCACAGAAGTCTTGTGCAGCTATCCGGGTACGTTGGCACCACATTTTT